GTATGAGGTCAATTGGTAAATAGATGGGAGAAGGGTTAGACTTTACGGGAGGAAGAGGGGGTTAATGGTGGGGCTAGATGGCGAGTGGTGCAGGTTGAGTGTCTGGGACCATGCAGGTGGGGAAGTGTTTGTGACCATGCTGGTGGGGGACGGGTCTGGAACCATGCTGGTGGGGGACGGGTCTGGGACCATGCTGGTGGGGACGGGTCTGGAGCCATGCTGGTGGGGGACGTGTCTGGGACCATGCTGGTGGGGAGTGTCTGGGACCATGGTGGTGGGGGACTGGTCTGTGACCATGCAGGTGGGGGACTGGTCTGGGATCATGCAGGTGGAGGGGAGTGTTTGTGACCATGCAGGTGGGGGACGGGTCTGGAACCATGCTGGTGTGGGACGGGTCTGGAACCATGCAGGTGGGGGACGGGTCTGGGACCATGCAGGTGGGGTACGGGTCTGGAACCATGCAGGTGGGGGACGGGTCTGGAACCATGCTGGTGTGGGACGGGTCTGGGATCATGCAGGTGGGGGATGGGTCTGGAACCATGCTGGTGTGGGACGGGTCTGGGACCATGCAGGTGGGGGACGGGTCTGGGACCATGCAGGTGGGGGAAGGGTCTGAAACCATGCAGGTGGGGGACGGGTCTGGAACCATGCTGGTGTGGGACGGGTCTGGGACCATGCAGGTGGGGGACGGGTCTGGAACCATGCTGGTGGGGGACGGTCTGGAACCATGCAGGTGGGGGACGGTTCTGGAACCATGCTGGTGTGGGACGGGTCTGGGACCATGCAGGTGGGGGACGGGTCTGGAACCATGCAGGTGGGGGACGGTTCTGGAACCATGCAGGTGGGGGCGGTTCTGGAACCATGCTGGTATGGGACGGGTCTGGGACCATGCAGGTGGGGGACGGGTCTGGAGCCATGCAGGTGGGGGACGGTTCTGGAACCATGCTGGTGTGGGACGGGTCTGGGACCATGCAGGTGGGGGACGGGTCTGGAACCATGCTGGTGTGGGACGGGTCTGGGACCATGCAGGTGGGGGACGGGTCTGGAACCATGCTGGTGTGGGACGGGTTTGGGACCATGCAGATGGGGGACGGTTCTGGAACCATGCAGGTGGGGACGGTTCTGGAACCATGCAGGTGGGGGACGGGTCTGGAACCATGCAGGTGGGGACGGTCGACCAGCGGTTGGACGGGTCTGGACAGCAGTGGGACGTCTGGCATGCTGGTGTGGGAGGGGTCTGGGACCATGCAGGTGGGGGACGGGTCTGGGACCATGCTGGTGTGGGAAGAGTTTGGGACCATGCAGATGGGTGACGGTTCTGGAACCATGCAGGTGGGGGACGGGTCTGGAACCATGCTGGTGTGGGACGATTCTGGAACCATGCAGGTGGGGGACGATTCTGGAACCATGCAGATGGGGAACGGTTCTGGAACCATGCAGGTGGGGGACGATTCTGGAACCAAGCCAACATCATCACCATATCTAAGAAATTCGATAAAGATAAACAGTATGTCAAATAACCAGACAAGTATCCTGAGATTCAATATGTAGTTGATGACATGTTACTGAGAAGACATTACGCCCACCAGAGACGTGCGAGAACTGATAAACGTTCCCTCCCTTAAAGGAGGTTCCTTGACGCAGGTGAGGGGCTCTTGATCTAGGGAATTGTATCTGTGCTCCAGTTCCCTAAATTAAGCCTGAATACCTTCCATCCCCTCCCCCTCACAGGCGCTGTATAATCCTACATTATTATTATTATTATCAAAAAGAAGCACTAAACTACAAGGGCCATACAGCATGTATAATTCTACAGGTTTAGCGCTTCCCTATTATAATAATAATACATATAAAAGTACCATAGGGGAGTTAGTAGATGGGTAGATGGAGGTATTAGGTAGATGGCGAGAATATTTTGAGGAACTTCTAAATGTCGAAGACAGGGGGGCGGTAATTTTATGCACTGGTCAGGGAGGTATACCATCTTGTAGGAGTGAAGAAGAGCAGAATGTAAGTGTGGGGGAGGTACGTGAGGCATTACGTAGAATGAAAGGGGGTAAAGCAGCTGGAACTGATGGGATCATGACAGAAATGTTAAAAGCAGGGGGGGATATAGTGTTGGAGTGGTTGGTATTTTTGTTTAATAAATGTATGAAAGAGGGGAAGGTACCTAGGGATTGGCAAGAACTTATATTATTATTTTAAAGGGAAGCGGAAAAGGAGATTATAACAAGCACTGTAGGGAATAAGGTTTCAGAGCTTGATAGGGGACATGGGCACAGATAGATTGCAATATCATGGAAAATAGGCCCCTTGGTAGGTTGGCTAAATCTATAAAGTTCTATATAAGGGATAGTGGGACAAGGTTGGTGTTAAAGAGAAAATATTACTAGAGTGGTAGACAAGGGATTTGTAATGTACATGGTGTTTAATAATGTATAAAGGTTTTAAAGAAGTGAATGCTAGTAGGTGTTGAGAGAGGGGATATTCAAATTAGGCCGTAATCAGATCAAATGGTAATGTCACCAGTTTTTTTTATGATATATGTGATAGGGAGTTTAAAGAAAAATTGCAAAGGTTGGGAGATGATTTTAGTGTGGTAATCAGATACAAAATGAGTGAAGTGACACAAGTTGCTTTGGTGATGGGGATACGTGCTAATGGAGATTCATAAAGAAAAATTGCAAAGGTTAGTGGACGAGTTTGGGAGTGTGTGTAAAGGTAGAAAGTTGAAAGTGAACGTAGAAAAGAGTAAGGTGATGGGGGTATCAAATGATTTAGATAAAGAAAAATTGGATATCAAATTGGGGAGGAGGAGTATGGAAGAAGTGAATGTTTTCAGATATTTGGGAGTTGACATGTCAGCTGATGGATTTATGAAGGATGAGGTCAGTTATAGAATTGATGAAGGAAAAAAGGCGAGTGGTGTGTTGAGGTATATGTGGAGACAAATTGGGTTGTAAATGCTGCAGCGAGGAGGCGGTTGGAGGCAGTGGAGATGTCCTGTCTAAGGGCAATGTGTGGTGTGAATATTATGCAGAAAATTTGGAGTGTGGAAATTAGGAGAAGGTGTGGAGTCAAAAGTATTAGTCAGAGGGCAGAAGAGGGGTTGTTGAGGTGGTTTGGTCATTTAGAGAGAATGGATCAAAGTAGAATGACATGGAGAGCGTATAAATCTGTAGAAGGCGGGGTAGGGATCGGCCTCGAATAGGTTGGAGGGAGGGGGTAAAGGTGGTTTTGTGGGCGAGGGGCTTGGACTTCCAGCGAGTGTGTGTGAGCATGTTAGATAGGAGTGAATGGAGACAAATGGTATTTGAGACCTGATGAGCTGTTGGAGTGTGAGCAGGGTAATATTTAGTGAAGGGATTCAGGAAAACCGGTTATTTTTATATAGCCGGACTTGAGTCCTAGAAATGAGAAGTACAATGCCTGCACTCTAAAGGAGGGGTTTGGGATATTGGCAGTTTGGAGGGATATGTTGTGTATCTTTATACGTATATGCTTCTAAACTGTTGTATTCTGAGCACCTCTGCAAAAACAGTGATTATGTGTGGGTGAGGTGAAAGTGTTGAATGATTAAAGTATTTTCTTTTGGGGGATTTTCTTTCTTTTTGGGGTCACCCTGCCTCGGTGGGAGACAGCCAACTTGTTAAAAAACAAACAAAAAAAAACAATAATTAGAATAATATGCACTATAATAACAAGTGAGCTTCGAAAGGCCATCACTAGATGGCAGTGAATACCACAACAATGCAGAAGCAGGAATGGTTGCCTCCACTTGTCACACAATAACATATTTTATTCATTCTAGAGTATATATCAGGTTTCTGTGTTATTTATATTGTTTATGTCATATTTGATCAAATGTGATAGATAAATAAGCCATAGAGTTAATATTAGCATTATAATGAAAGTATTTTGTCCTACCTCCTGAGAGCAAGAATTCTGCTATAACAGATTAATGGCATTTCAATTTATTTAAATGAGGAAAATTGACTCAGCATACGAGCAGATCGGGATACGAGCTAGGTCATGAAACGGATTAAACTCGTAAGCCGAGGGTCCACTGTATTCTTATTTATAACAAGCCTAAGTCTTTAGGGGCCATACAGTGACTGAAGAATGGGAGGTAATTAGATTTAAGAAATGGGAGGGTTTAATTAATTCCTTTGATCTAGGAGCACACAAAGTACCTAAATTTGAGATGAAACTTTCTGAAAGTGTAGAATTAGCCACTTAGGTTGCATACTCTTATGCTTGCTTGATCCAAGACAAATATGAACCAACTGATCCAGCAAGGACAACACCAAGTCACCAAATTTTATATCTATCCACTAAACTCCCAAGTGATCCAGATATCTGTACTCCTGTAAACCTTTCCTGGTGCCTACTTTCTAAGCTTTTTGTGCATCTGTATGCTCTTGCAATATCGTCTGCATGATGGATGTGGGGTGCACAATAAACTAGCCGCTTTGGCGGCAAAATAAGTCACCAGGTAAGTGTCAATGAGGAGTATATGGGTGTCCATGAATAGCATAAACACAAGAGCAGTGCTTTGTTGCTTTTTGCAGTAGCTGTGGCCATCCTGGCATGTAATTCCCATTACTATTATCACACTCATGGGGCAGTGGCCCTATCTGGGTCACAGTAACAAATGAGAAGGAATCAAGTTTGATCCAAGGGAAACACAGCCCCAATCCCTTTGATCAAGAACCTTTCATTGGCAACAGGGTGTGACCAAAAAGCCAGTGTGTACTCCAACACAACAAAGCTCCTAATCTTCCCTCATCACTAAAAGGTTTCTTCTCTCCGAGGGTCTAGAGCTAGACCCTTAATTTACTTATTGAACAAAATCCAATTTCATCATGTTAAAGATTCTATGCTATAATTAGAAAAATTCACCTGATCTTCATACATAAATCAGTTTTTATATTTAAAAAGTTAAATAAAAGGGATATTCAAAGAAGGAATGTCAAAATTATTCCGTACTGACAAGAAAATTCTCTTAAAGCAATTTATTTTATAAAAAATACATAATGTTATACATACAATGCTAATACAGTACAAACTCATTTTAACTGCAAATAGAAGTACAACTAACATTAATTTAATGAAAAACATGTATGCTTCCCATCAAATAGCTAACAGTTTTCAACAGCAATACATATATGCTGACTGACTTCTTGGTATAACAATTTGTATATTAAGAAAAATGTTAAGCAGCACAATTTTCATGTATAACTTGTATTAAGTATGTATACTATCACCTTCATTCTTTTAACTTTTCAGTAAAAAAAATTAATTTTGTTGATGTAAAGAAACAAAATGAAACTGATGATTATACTCTTATGAAGATGAATGAACAGTAATAGGTACAACATATCAAAGATTATTCAATAATACATTATTCTACCTTTGGCATCATCTGGCAGTCTTGTATGATCTCTTACCTAAACAAGGAAAGCACAACCAAAAGGGAAAATAAGAACAATAAAAAAGGTCACCATACTGTGGCTGGAACAATACACACACACAACCCACTGATGTAACCTGAAAATGGTTAATGACAGATCAAAGTGTTTATAGTTTCCTCTCGAAAGTGTGAGCTATTTGTGAACAGAGCATAAAAAGATGATGTGATTACCCTGTGACTGAAAATCTGCCTCAACTCTTTCTTCCCCAGAAAGGAATGGTTAATTGATCCACTGCACTTACTGTACTTTCAAATTGGTCAATAAATGAAAAATACCACAAATTAGAAATCATTTAACTCTTCAGTTATTTTCATATTGTATAAAATTACCATTCTGACAACTATATCACACTCTTGCAAGTTCTTCCTCAAAATTGTGAATGAACACAAATACAAGTCTTCAAAAGAGACAGTTGGAATTTAAAAATCCATTAATTGATTTGGATTAAAAGAAATAATATTCATCCGCAATCTTTACAAATTCCTTAAAAGAAGTGACATGATTGCATTTTCTTTAAACTATAAAATTGTAGTTGAAATTTAAAAATTTCATAAATTAATCCTATGAAGAATAAACAATTCATGTATATACGTATTTGATTTGTACGCTAAATTGCAATTACAATACAGTGGACCCCCGCATAACGATGGCATCACATAGCGATTAATCCGCATACCGCTTACTTTAATCGCAAAAATTTTGCCGCGCATACCGATTAAAAACCCGCTCACCGATTTTCGTCCGAGACGCGTCCAATGTGCGCCCTCAGCCAGCCTCACATGTGCCGCCCGTGCCATTGTTTACCAGCCAGCCTCCGCGGTAACATCCAAGCATACACTCAGAATATTTCGTATTATTACAGTGTTTTCGGTGCTGTTTCTGGAAAATAAGTGACCATGGGCCCCAAGAAAGCTTCTAGTGCCAACCGTACACCAATAAGGGTGAGAATTCCCATTGAAATGAAGAAAGAGATCATTGATAAGTATGAAAGTGGAGTGCGTATCGCCGACCTAGTCAAGTTGTACAAGAAACCCCAATCAACCATCGCTACTATTGTGGGCACCAGAAAGACAATCAAGGAAGCTGTTCTTGCCAAAGGTTTAACTGTGTTTTCGAAACAAAGATCGCAAGTGATGGAAGATGTTGAGAGACTCTTATTGGTGTGGATAAATGAAAAACAGCTAGCAGGAGATAGCGTCTCTCAAGCGATCATATGTGAAAAGGCTAGGAAGTTGCATGAGGATTTAATTAAAAAAATGCCTGCAACTAGTGATGATGTGAGTGAATTTAAGGCCAGCAAAGGTTGGTTTGAGAGATTTAAGAAGCGTAGTGGCATCCATAGTGTGATAAGGCATGGTGAGGCTGCCAGTTCGGACCACAAAGCGGCTGAAAAATATGTGCAGGAATTCAAGGAGTACATAGACAGTGAAGGACTGAAACCTGAACAAGTGTTTAATTGTGATGAAACAGGCCTGTTCTGGAAGAAAATGCCAAGCAGGACCTACATTACTCAGGAGGAAAAGGCACTCCCAGGACATAAGCCTATGAAAGACAGGCTTACTCTTCTCATGTGTGCCAATGCTACTGGTGATTGCAAAGTGAAGCCTTTATTAGTGTATCACTCTGAAACTCCCAGAGCGTTCAGGCAAAAGAATGTCCTCAAGGATAATTTGTGTGTGCTGTGGAGGGCAAACAGTAAGGCATGGGTCACTAGGGACTTTTTCTATAACTGGTTACACCATGCATTTGCCCCCAATGTGAAAGATTACCTAACTGAAAAGAAATTAGAACTTAAGTGCCTCCTGGTGTTAGACAATGCCCCTGGTCATCCTACAGACGTGGCAGAGCGACTTTATGGGGACATGAGTTTCATTAAGGTGAAGTTTTTGCCTCCTAATACCACTCCTCTCCTGCAGCCCATGGACCAGCAGGTTATTGCAAACTTCAAAAAACTGTACACAAAAGCTCTGTTTGAAAGGTGCTTTGTAGTGACCTCAGAAACTCAACTGACTCTAAGAGAGTTTTGGAGAGATCACTTTAATATCCTCAATTGTGTAAACCTTATAGGTAAGGCTTGGGAGGGAGTGACTAAGAAGACCTTGAACTCTGCTTGGAAGAAACTGTGGCCAGAATGTGTAGACAAAAGGGATTTTGAAGGGTTTGAGGCTAACCCTGAGATGATTATGCCACTTGAGGAATCCATTGTGGCATTGGGAAAGTCCTTGGGGTTGGAGGTTAGTGGGGAGGATGTGGAAGAGTTGGTGGAGGAGGACAATGAAGAACTAACCACTGATGAGCTGATAGATCAACTTCAAGAGCAAGAGGCCAGACCTGGGGAAACTGGTTCAGAGGAGGGGAGAGAGAAATTGAAGAAGTTGCCTACTACAAAGATTAAGGAAATCTGTGCAAAGTGGCTTGAAGTGCAAACCTTCATGGATGAAAATCACCCTCACACAGCTATTGCAAGCCGTGCTGGTGATTATTACACTGACAATGTTGTGAAACACTTTAGGCAAGTCATAAAGGAACGAGAGGTACAGGCCACTATGGACAGATATCTTGTGCGAAAGAAGTCCAGTGACTCTGAAGCTGGCCCTAGTGGCATTAAAAAGAAGAAGGGAAGTAACCCCAGAAAAGGACTTGCTACCTCAAGTCCTAATGGAAGGGGATTCCCCTTCTAAACACTAACACTCTCTCTCCCCTCCTCCCATCCCATCAATCATCACCAGATCTTCAATAAAAGTAAGTGTCATGTAAGTGTGCATGCCTTTTTCAGTTTGTGTGTATTAAAATTAACATTTCATGTGGTAAAAAATTTTTTTTTCATACTTTTGGGTGTCTTGCACGGATTAATTTTATTTCCATTATTTCTTATGGGGAAAATTCATTCACATAACGATTATTTCGCATAACAATTACCCCTCTTGCACGGATTAAAATCGTTAACCGGGGGTCCACTGTACAATAGTTCAAAAAGAATATAATGCAAATGGTATCACATTTCCATAAAAAATAATATAAAAATATGCCATATTCTATCTGAAAACTTCCTCTTTTGGAAATAAAAGGTAGCAATATCAACAAGATGTGACAAAAAGAGCCTTATGTCTTAATTTGTGCATATGTCTCTTTTACTACACTTCCTGTTTTACTAAGTGCCATCCTTTAAAATAAAAAATAAGTCACAATACAGAACCATGGCTGGAACAGTTTATCCCCTCAAGGAGCAGCGCTGTATAACCCTTGTCAGTTTAGTGCTTTCCTTGATTATAAAAATAATAATAATCCCCTCAAGGAAGGTTCCTTGATGCTGGTGAGGGGCTCTTGATCTAGGGAATTGGATCTGTGCTCCAGTTCCCTGAATTAAGCCTGAATACCTTCCACATCCCCCCACAGGCCCTACATAATCCTACGGGTTTAGCGTTCCCCTTTGATTATAATAATAATAATAATGGAACAGTTTACAATTAACCCACACTGTGGAGAGGAAACCTAGACAATTTCAAAGAGGATGTGTAGTTGAGAGGGGATTCTAAGATGGGGTGAGAGCCTCTTAAGTCCTTCATAGTGAGCTAGTTATAAATCATTTAGAATCATTTTTTCTGTACATACTTTCATGTGAAGGAACAAATAAAATGTTTGCATAAAAGTTTGCACGAATAAGCCATCTCTTGATTGCAGTCCCAAGAAAAGTGTGTGAAACGAGGACTGCATAAGATGCATTTAAAGCTGGAAAAGGGTTTACTGGAAGGATAAAGTAGAGCTTGTGTGTGTATAAAAAATGAGTTGGTGCTGAAATTTTTGCATGACCAAGTAAATTAAACACTCACTGTAGTGTAACTAAAGCTGTACCATAAATTACCACAGTACACTACTGGTAATTGGTACATTATATTTTTTGTAAAATAAAAAATGAAACCAAATAATTACTTTATATGCTTGTGTTCATGAAAGCAACTCATCATTTGGGTTAAAAAGCTTATGATATTTTCCTCTAAATTTAGAAGCATTTTGCCATGGAGGAGATGGCTCACACTCTTTCCATTTCTGAGATAGTCTATGATTTGTGCTTAATAATCCAGCCTTTTTGTTAACTAAAGAACGTTTAAACTGAGAAAAACTGGAAGACATATCATTCAATTCAGGATGAACATACATCACAGACAAATCAGTTTTATTTTGTGACTCTGATTGTTGGTGTCTAGACTTTATTCTGTTTGTGGGAAATGAGTCTGAAATTGGTAAATTACTGAGTTCCTCATCATTACTGTTTGATGTCCTTGCTTCTGGATAATCAGAACATTTAATTTTACTTACAGAATCCTTGATCTTTCTCTTATTTGTTGCATATGAGTTATGGCTCTTGAATGAAACTGAGTTGCAAGTCTTTAATGTTTCACATAGATTAATGTTACTGCTCTTTGCACTGTATTCAGAAAATGGTTGTTTTGTAGTCTTTGACACAGATTTGTCTGTTGTAATACACTTATCTATGAAACCTTTATTTGATACTTTTCTGTCAAAATGTTCCTGATTCACAAAGCTTTTGTCTACATGACATACATTTTTAGCAGAAATTAGTGTCCTCTCTCTTCCACTATGTCCACTTTCACTTTCTAAAATGTTTGCAACATCACTGGATGAATACAATTTCTTACTCATCTTGCTTGCTACTTCTCTATCATAATCTGGCATGCAAAGCCTTTCAGGAACCTTATTTCTTTCCTCTTCAAAAACTGGCTTAATGCTCTTCTCTTCTCTTATCTTTACTTTAGTAGTTCTAGTCTTAATTTTATTTTTATTTTTTGAAATCATGTTAAAGGTTACATCCTGCTTAATATCCTCCTTTACATTACAAATTTGTTTCTTAGTTTCCTCTTGAAAATGATTATAATCATCAGCTCTTTGTATGACCTCCACATTAAATCCATTATTATATGGCTGTGTGAAGTTCCTCTTAATACCAGTGTGAATTTTTCTCCTCTTTAGTTTACTCTCAGGCCTGTGTGAAGAACCAATAATAGATTTCAAACCCTTAACTGATTTTATACCACTATGAATTTTCTTTTTCTTTTTTACTACACCGTTCAATTTCTGTTTAGAGCCTTTCTTTGATAATTCATTACTTTCCAGATATCCAGATTTCTCAGCTTCACTAATCAAATGCAACTGTAATGATTTTCTCTTCCTTTCTTTACACTGAGGTTCACTACTGGACTCAGGCAGCTGAATACTACTTAGCTCACCAACTATTTTATTACGAGACTTACTTTTCCTCTTAATGCCATGACTTGGCTTAGTGCTGCTACTGTCTATTTCTTCACTTCTATCACAACAAATATCAGGTTTTTCATTATTCAGGGTTATTTTCTCTCTCACTGCCTTGTTTTCTATTTCCTGAACTATAACCACATTTAGCAGATATGGTTCATGTGAATCTTTCTTTTTCTTCTTGTGTTTTTTTGATTCTTTTGTATCCTCATCTAGACATGATTCTTCTGCATCTTTAATTTTGTTGATGCTTTTCTTCTTCTTCTCTTTCCTTTGTTTTTCTGACTCTTCTACACCCTCATCAAATACATACGATTCTTCTGAATCCCATCTTTTGTTGGTATCTTTCTTATGATTGATGGACTTTTGAGCAGCCTCATCAATTAGATACAATTCTTCATACTTTCTTTTCTTCTTTTGCTTTAGCTTCTGGAACTCTTCTTCACCCTCATCAAAAATACAGATCACTTCTGATCTCTTCTGATTGTCTGACTCTCCTGCAACTTTTTTAAACAAACAAGATTCTTTTGAATCTCTCCTCTTGCTCTTTTTTTGTTTCACAAATTCCACAGCAACATCTGATAGACACAATTTTTTTGAACCTGTTTTCTCATTCTTCTGATTTTTTAAGTCTTCTGCAACTTCATCCAATAAACCTGGATTACCTGAATCTCTCCCTTTGTGGTTTTCCTGTTTTATGAATTCTTCTGCAACATCATCATATGGACACGATTCTTTTAAATATTGTTTCTTCTGCTTTTTTGACTTTGGTGCAATCTCATCAGATAGACATGATATACTTGAATCTCTCCTTTTGCTCTTCTTTTGTTCTTTGCATTTTTCTGAAACCTCATTGAATAGACACAATTCTTTTGCATTTCTCTTTTTGTTTGTCTGTTTTACAGAGAGTTGAAAAGCCTCATCAAATGTACACAATTCTCCTGAAATTTCCCCTTTGTTATTGTTCTGCTTTTCAGATTTTCCTTCAGCCTCATTTAATAAACATAACTCATTGGTCACACTTGTATTTCCATTCTCTTCATGAATTTTGTTTTCTATAGCTTTTAATTTCCTCTTTGATACCTTTTTTACTACTAAATTATCTTCCCTATCATCAAAAGTTTCCAGGTGTATCAATCTATGTTTATCATTCAGTGGATCAAGTGCATCATGGCTGTTATTCTGAACAGTCTCAAGTAGGCTACTAAATGATTCAGAAAAGACAATATTACTACTTCTGTCCTCATTATCAGCTGGAGTTTCACAGCTTGTATAACACTTAGCAATAGTCTTAACTTTCTTTTTCAATTGTCTTCTGAGCACAGGTTTCTTGTATGAATTATTTTCACATGGCCTACATTCTAGTTTGGATTGTAAATTGTCTTCTTTATAAAATTTTTGGGGAAGTGGTAAATCTTCAATCCAAGAAAATGAAAAATCATTTTTTAGAGGTAGTTTCCTTTGTTTTACATCAGATTTATCACTATTACTGGTAACTTTTTCTTTATCTTTATGAATTATATTAGGATTATCAACATTAACATTTTTACACCCTGTTTTATTATTCAGAACACATGCAGGAATTGGAAGGTCATCAAGAAACTGATTCCAATATTCTTTAGCTGAATATTTATTCTTGGTCCTCACTCTCTGAAGCATTTGTTTTCCTTTAGCCTCATCACCTTTTGTATTCTTAGTCTTTATTTCCTGAGTCCTCTGCTTTCTTTTGGCCTTGTCACTTTCTGTACTCTCATTCCTTACTTGCTGTGTCCTCAGCTCTCCTTCAACCTTATTACCTTTGGTATTCTGCCCAGAAGATGACCCTTCATTTTGAATTCTGTTTATATTATTTTCTATTTCAACATCAATAGAAATTTTATGTATGATGTCTTTACTTTTCGTATTTATGTCTCCTTCCGCATCACCTTCCATAACTACATCATTCTGTAAATCCCAATTACTTGAATTGCTATTTTCAATTGGTTCCCATGGTTCACAAAAAATTTTGATACCAGTGTCTTCCTGACAACAATTACCCTCCAAACATGTGTTAAAAATTTCATTATTCACTTCTTTCTTGGGAGAATCTTGATCACTTTGTATATGTTTATGTGAGACATGCTCCATCCTCATTTTCACCATGCTAGGTTTTTCACTTACTGTCTCAAGATGAAGAGGGTTCTGTGCTTCATCAATTTTCTTACTGGAAGACAAATCATGTAAGTTGACATTTAATGGTTCCATGCAATCAGTGTCAACAACACTAGTTTGTTCAGAGAAAAACTCAAGCTCTTCTTCATTTGTGAAATTTGTACCAGGCAAGAGTGTTACTTCCAAAATATTGTCCTCATCTACTTGAACTTTATTTGTCACAGAAGCATGAGGTGGCTGCTGTGATAATGGAAGAGGTGTTTCCTGTATTGATGGAAGAGAGGTGGTATCAAAGTCACTTCCAATCACACACTCATGCACAGTAATTTCATCTGATGAGCTACTACTTACAGCTTTATAATTAGATAGCTGTGTTTTGGTTGTAATGCTAGTTATCACATCTTGACTAGGGCCTACAAAATCTTCACTGTTACATGGTTCCTTCAGATTACCTTGATTTACTGCAGGTGTATCAAAAATTTGAGACTGGATAAGTCTTTCCAGTGCACTCTTTGCTGAGTGGAATTGATCTGAACTGTCATCACTGAACATATTTGGCCCTTGCTTAGGTGGAGTAACTAGTTGATGAAAATTATTATCAACACTCAAAGATGAACTGACAGATGCTAATGTTGCTAAGTGAGTGCTATGCAAAATGTCATTTTTTTCTTCCGTAATCGGCAGCTCTTCTGACTCGTTATCCAAGTATAATTCTTCTTCAGTTTTGCAAACATCAACAATATTCGTATTTATGTCTGCTGAGGGTAACAATGCCTGTGAACCTTGCAGGTCATGAACAGTAACTCGTTGAGCTGGAGTTATAAAGAAAAATGAACTCTTTACACTCTGCTGTGTTTCAGATACAATGTTTTCTTCCTGACTGTTTCCTGTCTGAGCATTACCAGAACATTGGTCATTTCTTAAGTTTTCAGTAATGAAACTGCCTTCATCACTGCTCTCTCTCTTGATTTGAGTGTTAATCTTTAACTCATCTGAAATGTCGCTCTCTTTTCTTAAAGACAAACTAAGGGTTTCAGGAACAATGTGAGTACCATTATCAATAAATTCTGCACTTAAATGATCAAGTGTTTCACCATTGCTTACATGGCTTCTGTTAAAATCGTTATGACTAGAAGCTATGTAAGCATCAGGATCTACAAGTTCTGGTAGTTGTGTAAACTGGAAACACATACTGTCATCAACTTTTTCAGAATTTCCTTGGGAAAAGCTGTGCTCTTGCTTTTGGGAGATTTCTGCTTCATAATTGCTAGACTGACACTCTCTTTGACCACAGGTTATGAAATATTCTCTTTCCTCACTTTCAACCCCTGAAGTCAAAACATTCTCTTCAGAATCTCTGGCAAGCTTATTCTGGTCTTTGTTTGTGTCACTGTTATATATTTTAGAATTCTGAACTACATTTATATCAACATGACATTCATGGAGTACATTATTTTCACAATCCTGACAACTAACAGCATTGGATACATTTTCAGTGTGAGGATCTGGTGACTGACTGTGACCAAATTTTATCCCACTAGGCATATCACAATATTTAACTTCATCTGGATAACTCTGGTTGGTTATATCACAGTCCTCATTTGAGGGAGTACCTTCATCAAAACAAGTAAGTAAATTGTCAGCTAAGGTGCATGTGTAATGAGACTGAGGATTGCATGTGACATCCTCTTCAAACTCCATGGCCAGGTCTCTACTTTGGTGTTCTTGGTTTGGAGATGTTTGAAAAGGGGCTACCACAGTCTTTTCCTTACCTCTATTCATTTCCAAGCTTAATTTATCTTCCTTGTCTTTGGAAACACTTTTGCTCTGGAAACAAGTATATTCTTCCTCAGGCTCAGAGACTGTACATAATTCTAACTTATCACCATTATTACTATTACTATTATTATTATTTAGAGAGAAGTTATGGGATTCAAAACTGAGCCTTTGAATTGTTTCAGGAGCATAATGATGTACTTCCTGCTCTTGTCCCAATTTCTTCTTAACACTGTTTAAATGATGTAAAACAGTTTCTTTTCCTCCCTGTAACCTTGTTGTAACTTTTTCTTCTGACATTTCTTGAGCTACTGTATTTTGAGAAAATTTTTTGGAGTATATTTCATCACTCCCAATTGTGCTCTGAGTTTCACTTACATGCTGTTTTGTGTGATTAATGTAAAATTTTGTACACTTAACATCATTCTCCATACATAATGAATTAGTATCATCAACATCTTCCACAGGACTATCTATAAACTCAGTAAAACTTCCATTTTGGAGAGAATTTAATACTTTTGAAGAAATTGATGACATTGGTTTTTTTTTCCTAATCTGAGTACTTGTGATCAGGATATCTTGTTCATTAAAAGACACATCGGCACTATCCTTCTTATCAGTTAGTAAGCACTGTGAATATTGTAAATCCTCACTACCAGGGTAAGAACTGGAAAACACTTTACTTTCAAGAGAATTCACAGGCAATAGGTCTACATCCTTCTTTATCTTCAGTTGGTCCTTAGTTGATGTACACTCTTCAGCACTGCTACTGTTAGAGTTTTCAGCTGGTAGACATACACTTGTGTGCACCTGGGACAAACCTCCCTTGTAAGGGTCGCTCGTCTTATCAGTTTCGTTTCCATCATGTCGAACCCTAAACACAGAAAGAAAGAAAGTAATACATAAGAAACATTTATATATACATGTACTTATAATATTCTAATTTTTTTTTTTAAAAACATCGGCCACAGGGTGACCCAAAAAAGAAAGAAACACTTTCACCATAATTCATACCTAATCACTGTCTTTGCAAAGATGCTCAGATACAACAGTTCAGCTGTCAGTCCAAACAGCAAATATCCCAAACCCCTCCTTTACAGTGTAAGCGTTGTATTTCCCACCTCCAGGACTCAAGTGCGGCTAACCAGTTTTCCTGAATCCCTTTACAAAATATTACCCTGCTCACACTCCAACAGCTCATCAAGTCCCAAAAACCATTTGTCTCCATTCACTCCTATCTAACATGCTCAAACATGCCTGCTGTATGTCCAAGCCCCTTGCACACAGAACCTCTTTTACTCCCTCCCCCCATTCTTTCCTATGATGACCCATACCCTTCTTCCCCTCCACTATAGATTTATATACCCTCCAAGTTATCCTATTTTGCTCCATCCTCTCTAAATGACCTAACCATCTCAATAACCCCTCCTCAGCCCTCTGAATAATACTTTTAGTAACTCCACACCTCCTCCAATTTCCACACTATGAATTCTCTGCATAATATTTACACCACACATTGCTCTTTGACACGACATCTCCACTTTAGATAAAAGGTTTTTCTTCTTTTTATTTTTAGTAAGCTGTACAGGAAAAGGAGTTACTAGCCCACTGCTCCTGGTATTTTAGATGACTTTTACAACATGCATGGCTTATGGAGCAAAGATTCTTATTCCACTTTCCATGGATATGAAAGGAAAATAATAACAAGAATTATTAGTAGGTTGGTAGACAGCAACCACCCAGGGAAGTACTACCGTCCTGCCAGATGACTGTGAAACAGAAACCTGTAACTGTTTTGCATGATGGTAGGACTGCTGGTTTCTTTTTTCTGTCTCATAAACACGCTAGATAACAGGGATATCTTGCTACTCCTACTTACACTTTGGTCACACTTCACAGACACGCACATGCATATACATATATACATTCATCTAGGTTTTTCTCCTTTTTCTAAATAGCTCTTGTTCTTCTTTATTTCTTCAATTGTCCATGGGGAAGTGGAAAAGAATCTTTCCTCCGTAAGCCATGCATATTGTATGAGGCGACTAAAATGCCGGGAGCAATGGGCTAGTAACCCCTTCTCCTGTAGACATTTACTAAAAAAGAGAAGAAGAAAAACTTTATAAAACTGGGATGCTTGAATGTGCGTGGATGTAGTGCGGATGACAAGAAACAGATGATTGCTGATGTTATGAATGAAAAGAAGTTGGATGTCCTGGCCCTAAGTGAAACAAAGTTGAAGGGGGTAGGGGAGTTTCGGTGGGGGGAAATAAATGGGATTAAATCTGGAGTATCTGAGAGAGTTAGAGCAAAGGAAGGGGTAGCAGTAATGTTGAAGGATCAGTTATGGAAGGAGAAAAGAGAATATGAATGTGTAAATTCAAGAATTATGTGGATTAAAGTAAAGGTTGGATGCGAAAAGTGGGTCATAATAAGCGTGTATGCACCTGGAGAAGAGAGGAATGCAGAGGAGAGAGAGAGAGATTTTGGGAGATGTTAAGTGAATGTATAGGAGCCTTTGAACCAAGTGAGAGAGTAATTGTGGTAGGGGACCTGAATGCTAAAGTAGGTGAAACTTTTAGAGAGGGTGTGGTAGGTAAGTTTGGGGTGCCAGGTGTAAATGATAATGGGAGCCCTTTGATTGAACTTCCTATAGAAAGGGGTTTAGTTATAGATAATACATATTTTAAGAAAAAGAGGATAAATAAGTATACAAGATATGATGTAGGGCAAAATGACAGTAGTTTGTTGGATTATGTATTGGTAGATAAAAGACTGTTGAGTAGACTTCAGGATGTACATGTTTATAGAGGGGCCACAGATATATCGGATCACTTTCTAGTTGTAGCTACACTGAGAGTAAAAGGTAGATGGGATACAAGGAGAATAGAAGCATCAGGGAAGAGAGAGGTGAAGGTTTATAAACTAAAAGAGGAGGCAGTTAGGGTAAGATATAAACAGCTATTGGAGGATAGATGGGCTAATGAGAGCATAGGCAATGGGGTCGAAGAGGTATGGGGCAGGTTTAAAAATGTAGTGTTAGAGTGTTCAGCAGAAGTTTGTGTTTACAGAAAAGTGGGTGTGGGAGGGAAGAGGAGCGATTGGTGGAATGATGATGTAAAGAGAGTAGTAAGGGAGAAAAAGTTAGCATATGAGAAGTTTTTACAAAGTAGAAGTGATGCAAGGAGGGAAGAGTATATGGAGAAAAAGAGAGAGGTTAAGAGAGTGGTGAAGCAATGTAAAAAGAGAGCAAATGAGACAGTGGGTGAGATGTTATCAACAAATTTTGTTGAAAATAAGAAAAAGTTTTGGAGTGAGATTAACAAGTTAAGGAAGCCTAGAGAACAAATGGATTTGTCAGTTAAAAATAGGAGAGAAGAGTTATTAAATGGAGAGTTAGAGATATTGGGAAGATGGAGGGAATATTTTGAGGAATTGTTAAATGTTGACGAAGATAGGGAAGCTGTGATTTCGTGTATAGGGCAAGGAGGAATAACATCTTGTATGAGTGAGGAAGAGCCAGTTGTGAGTGTGGGGGAAGTTCGTGAGGCAGTAGGTAAAATGAAAGGGGGTAAGGCAGCCGGGATTGATGGGATAAAGATAGAAATGTTAAAAGCAGGTGGGGATATAGTGTTGGAGTGGTTGGTGCAATTATTTAATAAATGTATGGAAGAGGGTAAGGTACCTAGGGATTGGCAGAGAGCATGCATAGTTCCTTTGTATAAAGGCAAAGGGGACAAAAGAGAGTGCAAAAATTATAGGGGGATAAGTCTGTTGAGTATACCTGGTAAAGTGTATGGTAGAGGTATTATTGAAAGAATTAAGAGTAAGACAGAGAATAGGATAGCAGATGAACAAGGAGGCTTTAGGAAAGGTAGGGGTGTGTGGACCAGGTGTTTACAGTGAAACATATAAGTGAACAGTATTTAGATAAGGCTAAAGAGGTCTTTGTGGCATTTATGGATTTGGAAAAGGCGTATGACAGGGTGGATAGGGGGGCAATGTGGCAGATGTTGCAGGTGTATGGTGTAGGAGGTAGGTTACTGAAAGCAGTGAAGAGTTTTTACGAGGATAGCGAGGCTCAAGTTAGAGTATGTAGGAAAGAGGGAAATTATTTCCCAGTAAAAGTAGGCCTTAGAAAAGGATGTGTGATGTCACCGTGGTTGTTTAATATATTTATAGATGGGATTGTAAGAGAAGTAAATGCGAGGGTCTTGGCAAGAGGTGTGGAGTTAAAAGATAAAGAATCACACATAAAGTGGGAGTTGTCACAGTTGCTCTTTGCTGATGACACTGTGCTCTTGGGAGATTCTGAAGAGAAGTTGCAGAGATTGGTGGGTGAATTTGGTAGGGTGTGCAAAAGAAGAAAATTAAAAGTGAATACAGGAAAGAGTAAGGTTATGAGGATAACAAAAAGATTAGGTGATGAAAGATTGGATATCAGATTGGAGGGAGAGAGTATGGAGGAGGTGAATGTATTCAGATATTTGGGAGTGGACGTGTCAGCGGATGGGTCTATGAAAGATGAGGTGAATCATAGAATTGATGAGGGAAAAGGGTGAGTGGTGCACTTAGGAGTCTGTGGAGACAAAGAACTTTGTCCTTGGAGGCAAAGAGGGGAATGTATGAGAGTATAGTTTTACCAACGCTCTTACATGGGTGTGAAGCATGGGTGATGAATGTTGCAGCGAGGAGAAGGCTGGAGGCAGTGGAGATGTCATGTCTGAGAGCAATGTGTGGTGTGAATATAATGCAGAGAATTCGTAGTTTGGAAGTTAGGAGGAGGTGCGGGATTACCAAAACTGTTGTCCAGAGGGCTGAGGAAGGGTTGTTGAGGTGGTTCGGACATGTAGAGAGAATGAAGCGAAACAGAGTGACTTCATGAGTGTATCAGTCTGTAGTGGAAGGAAGGCGGAGTAGGGGTCGGCCTAGGAAAGGTTGGAGGGAGGGGGTAAAGGAGGTTTTGCGTGCGAGGGGCTTGGACTTCCAGCAGGCATGCGTGAGCGTGTTTGATAGGAGTGAATGGAGACAAATGGTTTTTAATACTTGACGTGCTGTTGGAGTGTGAGCAAAGTAACATTTATGAAGGAGTTCAGGGAAACCGGCAGGCTGGACTTGAGTCCTGGAGATGGGAAGTACAGTGCCTGCACTCTGAAGGAGGGGTGTTAATGTTGCAGTTTAAAAACTGTAGTGTAAAGCACCCTTCTGGCAAGACAGTGATAGAGTGAATGATGGTGAAAGTTTTTCTTTTTCAGGCCACCCTGCCTTGGTGGGAATCGGCCAGTGTGATAAAAAAAAAATTTTAAAAAACAAAGAAAACTCAGATGAGTGTGTATACATAAACATGTACATTAATGTGCAGTGTGGCCTAAGTGTAAGTAAAAAGTAGCAAGACATACCTGTTATCGTGTGTGTTTATGAGACAGAAAACAACACTAGCACTCCTACCATCATGCAAAACACATACAGGTTTCTGTCTGACACTCACTTGGCAGGACAGTAGTACCTCCCTGTGTGGTCACTGTCTACCAACCTACTACGTACTTTTATTGAACTATAATTACTGAACTCAATATAAAGAAGCAAGGAACGTTTCTGACAGCATTTGACAATTTTTATTATGATGGGTGCTTTATTATCCCACCATAAATGGGACATACAAGAAAGTGGAAAATATAACACTTTATAATATGCAGTGCCCAAAATGACTGGAAAAACAAGTAAAAAATTATACAATATGACTATAAATGACTCCATGGGAAGGTGGATCAGAATTCTTCCTACGTAAGCCATGCGTGTAGTAAAAGGTGACTAAAATGCCTGGAGCAAAGGGCTAGTAACCCCTTCTCCTGTATGTACAGTTTCTCCCACTTAATGACAGAGTTCTGTTCCTAAGATCACGTCGGTAAATGAATGCGTCGCTAAGTGAGGAGCATACTATAATGGTAGTAGGTTTGTGTCTACTATCTTTGATATTATTTTATAGTCACCCTTGCACCATTTACAAAATTTTTAGTACATTTTTAAATGTTTATACAGTAGTGTACTGTATAGTGTAATAAACAGAATAGAGGAAATCAGCTCTAATATACATTATTTAGGTATGCATATTGGTCAGAGAGCCCGTCGTAAGTCCAAGTCATCGGTAAACGAATACGCCACTAAGTGAGGAGAGGCTGTATTACTAAATTTAAAAGGAGAAACTTCCGTTTTTCCTTTTGGACCACCCTGCCTCAGTGGGATACAGCTGGCTTGTTGAAGGAAGAAAGACTATAAATGAGCAGTAACTTTTGAAATCCATTCTTTGAACAGAAGACATACAGTATACAGTATATCCTTGAGTAACAAGTGGGATGCTTAACCCTTTCACTGTCTCTTACAGAGATCTAAGTTATTTATTATTGATTCATATTCACTGAATTTATTTTATTCTGAATGTCACTAATGTCTTACATGCATGCATGTAAAATACTAGTCCATCTAGATGTAAGTTAGGTTTAAGTTTGCCTGAAATGCTCTGCATAACCTATAATTTCTACTGTATCATCTGTTGAATTTAATGGTTCTGTACAGCAAAACAGGTCTTTAACATACAGTCCTACTTCCTGCAACCTATTTACTCTGACTATCCACTTTTACAATTTCTTTAGTGGCAACACGGGAAAATGCCTCAACGGCCCTAGAACACTAATTTAAACTGGCCACAACACTAAACTCTATATTCTTACATTTTTACTTATGAAAAAGTGTACTGCTATTTCTTTGGTGTTTGTAGAAACACACAGACACACTTTATGAGTTCACTCCCACATTTCCAGTGCTCTATCACCTCGGTGTCTGGCAAAAAAAAAAATGCTAATTGTCCAGAGCTCACACAACACACTTCACATTGGATGTCCAATGTATAAATGAGTTAAGTAGTTGCCCATGGGCAAATATTTAGGGTGTCCTATGTATTTCATCGTGTGTCTTTAACCACAACTTGTATCATATATTAGGTCTTCACTGTAATGAAATTACTTATAGTAGTGCTACAATACTGGCATCTAAAACTGTATTCAAATTCTTACCTTCTTCTTAAGTCCAAATAGCTGATGAATTTATCCAAGAAAGGACCAGAATAGCATATAGAAACATCCAATTCAACTGCTAATGTCCTGTAGCCATTTGTTCGCAAGATGTTTTCAATTTTCATTACATAATCCACTCCTGAAAAGTGTATATGCAAACACAGATGTTAATAGAAATAGTCTTTCATCCACTTACACATTTTTTTTTTAACATGCTGGCCGTGTTCTACTGAGGCAGGGTGATCTGAAAAAGAAACACCTTCATCATTATTCACAATATCACTGTCTTGCCAGAGGCGCACAGGTACGACAGTTTAGATGTCACTCCAAACAGTGACTATCCCAAATCCCTCCTTTAGACTGCAGGCACTGTACTTCCATATTAAACTCTATTAAAATGATAATGAGCTTCAAGTGATAATTAAGTGCTAGCAACAAATTGAAGCATAATGCTTCAATGCCCGTAAATCAAAAGCTTCTTACCTGTTGCCATGTTTTGTTCTTTTTTTTTTTTTGAAAGAAAAAAAAATATTTTCTAAAATGATAGAGAACCTTTTTCTAAAAGCAATGAAACCTAAAATACAAAATTTTATGTAATACAGAATTAAGCAGGCATGAAATTGGACAAAATTGCTGTTGTAATTTTGCCCACTTTGAGGCTTATTTTAGGCTAATTCCAGTGCTCAAACTACCCCTGAAACCCTCTCCAGGTAAACCCATTTATCAGCAATTTCCCTGTTATGCCTTCTATATTAGCCAATGGTCACATGAAATTACCCATCCAACCATCAAAACTACATATTAAGTACCAGAAAATTAGTAATTTGGCCAATTTTACACTACTTTTAACCCTTTGAGGGTTTTGGACGTACTAGTACGTCTTACGCGTAGGGGTTTTTGACGTACTAGTACGCACAAATTCTAGAGCCGTCAAATCTCGCGGGAAAAGGCTGGTAGGCCTACATGTGAGAGAATGGGTCTGTGTGGTCGGTGTGCACGGTAGAAAAAAAATCTGGGACCCAGTGGTGCATTGTGGGAACACCATCTTAGTAAACAATGTCCACCATGCCTCGCGGTAAGAAGCTCCTCACTCCTCGGCGAACTGGGACACTTTTGTTCCCCAGTGACAGTTCTAATACAGATGGAAGTGCCAGTGAAGATGAGTTTCAAGGTTTTGGTGAGGTTTTGACCGAAACTAATGACCATAAATATCGGTAAATGTGAGGAAAACCCGAGACGCCTCAGCCTTCCACCTCTGGTGCTGGGTCGTCTTGTTCACGTTCAGTTGTACCAGAATCCAAGAGGAAACTTCTATTTTCCCAAATCCTAGACTCAGATGAGAGCATGGGTGATGATAGTGATAGTGAATATGAACTACAAGCTCTTCAAACTAGTTCCAGTAGTGATAGTGAAGTGCAATATTCCCCAGTGAAGCGTCAGTATATACGACGATATATGCGCTCTGGTAGTGTGCCATATGCTATTCCAAGGGAAAGGAGTGCATCTTGGAGTACATCCCGTGGCTGTACAACAGAAACAGAGAGTGAAAATGACGATGATACTGTTGCAATTGGGATGGAAAATGTGCATGGTGGTAGTGGTGCCGGCGGTGAGGCACCAGCAGTGGGCCATGCTGCCACCCACGCCGCTGCCTCAGCTGATCTACAACAAAGGCCACCATCCCCCACCCACCCACCACACCAGCCTTCACAACCACAACCTCCACAACCACAACCACCTGTCATTGTTCAGTACCCACCAGCAGACCGCACCTGGGATTGGCAGGAAGCTGGCAATTTTGTTCCAAATGCCCACCAGTTTGATGACAGCCAAAGTGGAATATGGCCATCTTGTACACTTGGGAACAATGCCACTGAACTGGATGTTTCGAGTTATTCTTTGACGAACCACTGATGGAAAGTATTGTCATGGAAAGCAACACATACTACGAGTACACCATGGCAAACACATTACTTTCACCAAAATCATGTCTACACCAGTGGAAGGAGGCAACTGTGGATGAGATGTATCTTTTCTTTGCCGCAATAATGCTTATGCCACGTGTGTATAAGCACAAAGTGAAATCATACTGGTCAACAGACCGCCTGATTGCAACCCCAGGTTTCAGTGATATAATGCCAGTGAATCGATTTGTGCTAATGTTACGTATGCTTCATTTCTCAGACAAAACCAGGCCTGACAGAACTGACAGGTTATATAAGATTAGGAATGTGTTTGTGCATCTGAAAGAGAAATTCAGTACGCACTTTTATCCCTTCAGGAAGCTTGTAATTGACGAGTCTTTGATTCTGTTCAAAGGAAGACTCTCTTTCAAGCAGTACATACCAAGCAAGAGGAAACGCTTTGGTATAAAGTTGTTTGTGCTTTGTGATTGTTACAGTGGTCTGGTATTGGATATTATTGTGTACACTGGAAGTTATACATTGCAAAATACCAGGAAGTTATTGGGCATCTCAGGTGATGTAGTTAGAACAATGATAGAACCATACCTTGGTAAGGGGCATATATTATATACAGATAACTGGTACACAAGTCCCTCACTCAGTGATTTTTTGCGAGTGAACATGACAGATGTGTGTGGCACAGTGCGTGCAAATCGGAAACATATGCCCAGGTTTGACGCTGGCACTCGTAGAGGTGAGGTGCAGGCGTTTGCTGCCAATGACATCATGGCATTTCGGTGGCATGACAAACGAGATGTCACACTGTTGTCATCAGTTCACCCTAATGAAATGGCAGACAGTGGCAGGCAGCACAGAGAGAGCAATGAACCCATTCTAAAACCTGCAGCTGTGATTGATTACACCTTCAACATGCGTTCAGTGGACAAATGTGACATGCAGATTGGGTTTGCTGATTGTGTTCGCAAGAGTTATAAGTGGTACATCAAACTGTTTTTTCCATCTTCTGGACATTTCCATGCTCAATGCTTATAATATGTATAAGATGAGGACCAGAAACAAACCACAGTACGGCGAATTCTGTTTGTCTGTCATCAGACAAATAGTATTCAAGTACCAAGGAACAGCACCTGCAATTGACCGCCCACCAAATTATCAACAACTACCTGCTCGTCTGAAGCATGGTGATCACTTCCTGGTAAAACTGCCTGCTACTGCTTTCAAGAAAAAGGCTCAGACGAGGTGTTACGTCTGTTCACATACAAAAAAACGCCCACAACAACGCAGAGACACTCGTTTTATGTGTGAGGAATGTAAAACACCACTGTGCATGACACCATGTTTCAAAGAGTTCCACAGGCTGCAGAACTTCTAGAAACATTCCCTGTGACTGTGTATGTGTATATAAAATATAGAAAAACAGTAATAAGCAACATTTCATATCGTTTGTTTGTGTAAATATTTTTTGTAAACAAAATAATGACAACAGTGTTTACGCCCTTATTGTGTAGTACTGAAAAAGAAATAACTTACAAAATACTGATCATGTTGGCCTCAGAGGCCATAAAAGTTACTCAGAAAAAGAAAAATTGAAAAATAATTGAAAATAGTACATAAAAAAGTAAATAGAAAAATACCGGGTGACGGCAGTCGGCGATGTTACCAGATGTTGTTAAATTTTGGCAAACTTCACGCCTCCATATCTCGGTAAGTATTGACGGTAAAATTTTTTTGTTTAGCCTATAATATTTAGAAAAAAAAAAAAACTCTATTTTTTCATAAAAAAAAAATAATTTTTTTTTTTTTTGAAATTTGGCCGACCCTGAGAACGAGTTTCGGAGAGGGCCTGTCGACCCTCAAAGGGTTAATAAACTTTAATTTAAAAATATTCCAAAATAATAAGTGTAGGCATTCCGGCCACTAAAGCAACATCTCCTCTATTCCCTAATCATGTCACTAGGGCTCTCCTGTGTAATATTTGCCCTCCATTTTGAATCTATTGTTACACACACATACAAAAAAAAAAAAAAATCTACTTTTTCTGTTAATAAACCATAACCAATAATGCTTGGTATTGGTCTTGGCCATCCCACTAGAACTAGAACCTTCTAAACAAGAGGTGCAAAACCAATGATGATAATCTTCAGTGGAAGATGGCTGGTGTGTAATAATATAATAATCATATTTGCATAAAAAGATTATTGTTACATGTTTGTGATAGACAACCCATAATTATGTACAGTACACCATTTTGAGTAGGAAAACCAGGATTAAACCAATTAGTACTAATAAAGTTATATACAGTAGCTGATGTAAAACTATTTAGATAAGAAATTTAATATCATTTCTGGAATGCTAACAAATACAATCACTTGAAACATACAAATCTGTTAAATGCATGATGAGCAGAGAAAAAAAATTCTTGTACAGTATAAGTTATTATGCAAATACTGACAACAAGATTATCAGTTTACTAAGTTAAGGAAGCCTAGAGAACAAATGGATTCGTCAGTTAAAAATAGAAGAGGAGTTATTAAATGGAGAGTTAGAGGTATTGGGAAGATGGAGGGAATATTTTGAGGAATTGTTAAATGTTGATGAAGATAGGGAAGCTGTGATTTCGTGTATAGGGCAAGGAGGAATAACATCTTGTAGGAGTGAGGGAGAGCCAGTTGTGAGTGTGAGGGAAGGTTGTGAGGCAGTAGGTAAAATGAAAGGGGGTAAGGCAGCCGGGATTGATGGGATAAAGATAGAAATGTTAAAAGCAGGTGGGGATCTAGTTTTGGAGTGGTTGGTGCAATTATTTAATAAATGTATGGAAGAGGGTAAGGTACCTAGGGATTGGCAGAGAGATGCATAGTTCCTTTGTATAAAGGCAAAGGGGACAAAAGAGAGTGCAAAAATTATAGGGGGATAAGTCTGTTGAGTATACCTGGTAAAGTGTATGGTAGAGTTATTATTGAAAGAATTAAGAGTAAGACAGAGAATAGGATAGCAGATGAACAAGGAGGCTTTAGGAAAGGTAGGGGGTGTGTGGACCAGGTTTTACAGTGAAACATATAGTGAACAGTATTTAGATAAGGCTAAAGAGGGCTTTGTGGCATTTATGGATTTGGAAAAGGCGTATAACAGGTGGATAGGAGCAAGTGGGAGATTTGCAGTGTATGGTGTAAGGTAGGTTTCTGAAAGCAGTGAAGAGTTTTTTTCGAGGATCGTGAGGCCTCAAGTTAGAGTATGTAGGAAAGAGGGAAATTAAATTTTCCCCGTAAAAATAGGCCTGAGACAAGGAGTGTGATGTCACCGTGGTTGTTTAATAAAATTTTAGTTTGGGGGTTGTAAGAGAAGTAAATGCGAGGGTCTTGGAAAGAGGTGTGGAGTAAAAGATAAAGAATCACTCAAAGTAGGATTGTCACAGTTGCCTTTGCTGATGACACTGTGCTCTTGGAGATTCTGAAGAGAAGTTGCAGAGATTGGTGGATGAATTTGGTAGGGGGTGCAAAAGAAAATTAAAAGTGAACAGGAAAGGTAAGGTTATGAGAATAACAAAAAGATTAGGTGATGAAAGACTGGGTATCAATTGAGGGAGAGAGTATGGAGGAGGTGAATGTAATCAGATATTTGGGAGTGGACGTGTCAGCGATGGGTCTATGAAAGATGATGTGAATCATAGAATTGATGAGGGGAAAAGGGTGAGTGGGGCACTTAGGAGCCTGTGGACACAAAAAACCCTTTGTCCTTGGACGCAAAGAGGGGGAAAGTATGAGATATAGTTTAAAAACTTCTTATATGGTGTGAGCATGGGGGGATGAATGTTGCAGCAAGGAGAAGGGTGGAGGCAGTGAGATGTCATGTCTGAGGGCAATGCGTGGGGTGAATATAATGCAAAGAATTCGTAGTTTGGAAGTTAGGAGGAGGGGCGGGATTACCAAAACTGTTTGTCCAGAGGGCTGAGGAAGGGTTGTTGAGGGGGTTCGGACATGTTTGAGAGAATGGAGCGAAACAGAGTGACTTCAAGAGTGTATCAGTCTGTAGTGGAAGGAAGGCGGGTAGGGTCGGCCTAGGAAGGTTGGGGGGAGGGGGTTTAAAGGAGGTTTTGCTGCGAGGGGCTTGGATTCCAGCAGGCATGGTGAGCGTGTTTGATAGGAGTGAATTTGGGGACAAATGGTTTTTAATACTTTACGTGCTGTTGGAGTGTGACAAAGTAAAATTTATGAAGGGGTTCAGGGAAACCGGCAGGCCGGACTGAGTCCTGGGGATGGGAAGTACAGTGCCTGCACTTTTAAGGAGGGTGTTAATGTTTCAGTTTAAAAACTGTAGTGTAAGCACCCTTCTGGCAAGAAAAGTTTTTTCTTTTTTTGGGGCCCCCCAGCCTTGGTGGGAAACGCCAGTGTGATAATAAAAAAAATAAGCTGTTATTTAGCCCTGCTCATAAAGGGATTAATGATGTTTGAATCAGTTTCAAAATTTGTAAAAAATTTTGAAAGATACAGGTGTTATAAATGGCCATTCTGTAACATAATTTGAAGCACATCCAATCCGTAGTACATCTATGATGAAATGTAACTAATTTATGAACAGATTCATCATAAATACAGTACTATCCACACTCAAATTCTTTTAGCATCTTAATACATATACTACAAAACAAATACATACTGTAATAAACATATGAGCAGCATATGCATGATGTAAAAGACTTGTCCTTCTCCAGTGAAACAAAAGCGGTGGGGGGAATCCAAACATAGTGGTCTCCACAGAGAGTCACCATCTGAAGTAGTTCGTACTGATGAACGACTCTGCGTGCAAAGTGGACAAAAACCCGCATCTGTATATATTATTTATTATTATCTGTATTATAACATGTAAAAAAGAATCTATCATTTCACTAATAAATCTCAAAAAGGAGAAAAATAACAATAAATTTTTTTTTTAACAAACAGGCCATATCCCACCAAGGGAAGGGAACCCCTTCTCCTGTATAATTTACTAAAAATTTTTAAAAAAGAAACTTTTTCTTCTTGGCCACCCGCCTCAGTTTTGGGTATCCGTTTTTTTGAAAGAAAGAAAAGATCTAGCTCAGCGGCAGTGGCCACAGTTTTCGAAGAGCCCCCAGTCAAGTAACCATTTCCTCATTGAATTTAAAGGGCCTATTTTCGTATTTTATTGCATTTATGGATTAGAAAAGGCATATGATAGAGTGGATAAGAAGCAATGTGGGAGATGTTGCAAGATATGGAATAGGGGGTAATTACTAAATGCTGTAAAGAGCTTTATGAGGATAGGAGCCAGGGGTTTGGGTGGTAGAAAAGAGGAGAAACTTCCCGGTAAAAGTAGTTTGACAGGATGTGTAATGTCACCATGGGTTTTTTAAAATATTTATAGATGGGGTTGTAAAAGAAGTAAAAGCAAGGGTGTTCGGGAGAGGGGGGGATTAATTATGGGGAACAAATTCAAAATGGGAATTGACACAGTTACTTTTTGCTGATGAAACTGTGCTTATGGGGAGATTCAAAGAAAAATTGCAAAGGTTAGTGATGAGTTTGAGAAGGTGTAAAGGTAGAAAGTTGAAAGTGAAATAGAAAAGAGTAAGGTGATAGGAGGTATCAAATGATTAATAAAGAAAAATTGGGTATAAATTGGGGAGGAGGGGTATGGAAGAAGTGAATGTTTCAATACTTGGGATTGACGTGTCGGCGGATGGATTTATGAAGATGAGGTTAATCATGAATTGATGAGGGAAAAAAGGTGAGTTGGGCGTTGAGGTAAAATGTGGAGTCAAAAACGTATCTATGGAGCAAAGAAGGAATGTATGAAAGTATAGTAGTACCAACACTCTTATATGGATGTAAGCTGGGGGGTAAATCAGCAGCGAGGAGACGTTGGAGGCAGTGGAGATGTCCTGTCAAGGCAATGTGTGTAAATATTATGCAGAAAATTTGAGTGTGGAAATTAGGAGAAGGTGTGGGGTTAATAAAAAGCATTATCAAGGGCAGAAAAGGGGTTGTTGAGGTGGTTTGGTCATTTAGAGAGAATGGATCAAAGTAGAATGACATGGAAAGCATATAAATCTATAGGGGAAGGAAAGAGGGGTAGGGGTCGTCCTCGAAAGGGTTGGAAAGAGGGGGTAAAGGAGGTTTTGTGGGTGAGGGGCTTGGACTTCCAGCAAGCGTGCATGAGCGTGTTAGATAGGAGTGAATGGAGACGAATGATACTTGGGACCTGACGATCTGTTGGAGTGTGAGCAGGGTAATATTTAGTGAAGGGATTCAGGGAAACCGGTTATTTTTCATATAGTCGGACTTGAGTCCTGGAAATGGGAAGTACAATGCCTGCACTTTAAAGGAGGGGTTTGGGATATTGGCAGTTTGGAGGGATATGTTGTGTATCTCTATACGTATATGCTTCTAAACTGTTATATTCTGAGCACCTCTGCAAAAGCAGTGATAATGTGTGAGTGTGGTGAAAGTGTTGAATGATGATGAAAGTATTTTCTTTTTGGGGATTTTCTTTCTTTTTTGGGTCACCCTGCCTCGGTGGGAGACGACCGACTTGTTGAAAAAAAAAAAAAAAAAAAAAAAAAAAAAATTTCTATTTAATTTTTTGCCAAGGGTCCCTCTTGCCACAAGAGTATTGGCTGCATATACAGTATTTGCTAATTTATGTCTTCATTTACAACAATCCCTGGACTATTTAAGCATTTATACATGTCATTTACTAGCAGACGATTAATTCTATGTGATGACTGGTAGGGCCACCTTATTGAAGAATATCTTAATGTACAAGAGACAGGAGCCAAAACAACAAAGACAGTACTGTACTGTACTGTATCTTCCTGGATGACTGCTCTTCCTTAATTTTCTAAATCACCACATTCTTAATATTTTCAGTAATGTTATTATTTTAAATTACAAAAACCAGCACTTGCTCACCAAATCTTTCCCCATTATGTAATTTTAAGGATTAATAACAATATATTCAGACAACAAAATCTAAATACTTAATAGCAGCAACATTTGAGGGAAACAAATACTAAATGAATAATTTAAAAGCAAGATTTTAAATGCATCAATATTTGTAAGAAAACAGAATAATTAAAATACAGTACAAACCTTAGCCATGCCAGATGAAATCTTCGAAGTACATTTGTCAGTCTCTGCCATGGCTGAAGATCCCATACAAATTCCTTGTATTCCAGCATCAGTGTAAGAAGCTTGAGGCATTTGCTCAAGGCATTTACATTTTCACCTGTATAAAGGATTTAGTTTATTAGGTTAGGGTAAGCAATTATAAACTATTCATAACTCCTACATCATTTTTTATGTTTATAGTTAAGTTATGACTTGGAGTAAGCAGAATTTGTCAGCAACACTAGAAAACAACCACAGTTTATTGTATTCACTATGGAAGTTTGTCTAGAGGCATCAACCACTCCATTTACATCACATTCTCCACAGTGCTTCCTATGCCAATGAACTACGTACAGGAGGGCTCCATGTATACAGTACCTCTGTTGGTGTTCCACGTTTTGTTGGCCTTCAACTGAGCCATTGTACATTATGTTGGGTGCTTTTACTACTTTTCTGCTGTTATTGCCATTTTCTTATCATTTTCTTTGCAAGTCTATGTACTGGACACATTATAGGTGTCTTAGTGACAAGTGCCTTTGACAAAATGGTAACTTAACTCACACATGGCCAACACTCTCTGCCAGGGTACATATTATGTTCTATAATTAACTCTCCTTTATCGCCACACTTTTTTTATCTACAGATCCTTGAAATAATGTTGGTAGAATTACCAACAATATATTAGATAAACCTAGGTAGTAGGTTGGTAGACAGCAACCGCCCAGGGAGGTGCTACCGTCCTGCCAAGGCAGTGTAAAATGGAAGACTGTAATTGTTTTACATGATGGTAGGATTGCTGGTGTATATTTTCTGTCTCATAAACATGCAAGATTTCAGGTATGTCTTGCTACCTACTTCTACTTACACTTAGGTCACACTACACATACATGTACAAGCATATATATACACACCCCTCTGGGTTTTCTGCTATTTTCTTTCTAGTTCTTGTTCTTGTTTATTTCCTCTTATCTCCATGGGGAAGTGGAACAGAATTCTTCCTCCGTAAGCCATGTGTGTTGTAAGAGGAGACTAAAATGCCGGGGGCAAGGGGCTAGTAACCCCTTCTCTTGTATAAATTATTAAATTTCAAAAGAGAAACTTTCGGTTTTCTTTTTGGGCCACCCTGCCATGGTGGGATATGGCCGGTTTGTTGAAAAAAAAAAAAAAAAATACACACACCCCTCTGGATTTTCTTTCTTACTAGCTCTTGTTCTTGTTTATTTCCTCTTATCTCCATGGGAAATTTGAACAGAATTCTTCCTCAGTAAGTCATGCGTGTCGTAAGAGGCAACTAACATGCCGGGAGCAAGGGGCTAGTAACCCCTTCTCCTGTATACATTACTCAAGTTAAAAAGAGAGACTTTTGTTTTTCTTCTTTTTGGGCCACCCTGCCTTGGTGGGATATGGCCGGTTTGTTGAAAGAAGATGAGGTAAAAGGTTACAAGTGCAAAAATGTTACATTTTATTGTGGTAACGTTTTGCTCTCCAGGAGCTTTGTCAAGGCTTGATAAAGCTCCTGGAGAGCGAAACACTGCCACAATAAAATGTCACATTAGTTGCACTTGAGTCCTTTTACTTAACAATACAGATCTTTCACTAATACTTATGCTTTTTTAACCCTTTCAGGGTCAAGAGGCCCTCTCCTAAACTTGTTCTTAAGGTCAAAAATTTTTTGGAAAAAAAAAAAAAAAAAATCTTATGAAATGACAGAGAATCTTTTCCCGATCATAATGACACCAAAAGTATGAAATTTGATGGAAAACTTACGGAATTATGCTCTCGCGAAGTTAGCGATCTCGACGATGTTTAGGCATCAGCGATTTTACCCACTTTGAGCCCTTTTTCGGCCAATTCCAGTGTACTAGTCGACAAAAATCATAACTATTTCACTAGAACTCCATTTTTTCTATCGAATGAGTACAAGAAACCACCCATTTACCGATTTCAACTATCCAATGAAGTGGTCAGAAATTAGCAATTTTGCCAATTTCACACAAATTTCAAAAGATGCCAATTTCCAAATAGGGTCCAGAATAAACAAGACAAACATTCCTGGCACTAAAATAACATTTCCTCTGTTCATTAGTCATGTCCCCAGGCCCCTCTTACATTTCTTTTGCTTTTCACTTTGAATTTTTATTCTCACAAAAAATAGAAGATTTACTGTTATGTAGACTACTGCATTAGTGTAGAAATGGTATAAATAATATCAGCGCACTTGTGAAAGAATATCAGACTCACCAGTTGACGTATATTGGATGCGTGGCATGATCTGTTTACCTTTGAACTTTGGCAAAAATCAAACATTTCTGCTACTTTGAGCTCAATTTCAAGGTAGTTTTCATTGTGAAACCAATCAAAATCATCTCAATTTCTGTAATATGTTTTCCATTCTATAAAATGAGACCAGGAAAACTAGAATACAACCATAAATACACACGAAAATGCAGTGCAAAGTCACTGTTTTAAACCAAAAACACTATCAAAGTTTTTTTTCTCATTATGCACTGTGTGTTGCAGGATTTTTTTTATACTGTGCACACTGACTACATAGACCCATTCTTTCATATGTGGGCCTACCAGCTTTCTCATGCTAGATTTGAAGGCTCTACAATTTACGCGCACTAGTACGTCAATAACCCTGGTGCGTAAAAGTACTAGTACATACATTGGAAACCCTGAAAGGGTTAACACATCAGTCATCTCCCACAGAGGCAGGATGACCTGAAAAAGAAAAAACACTTTTTTTCTTCTTTTTACATATAGTAATTTATGCAAGAGAAGGGATTACTAGCCCCTTGCTCTGACATTTTAGTCACCTCTTATGACATGCATGGCTTATGGAGGAAGGATTTTTCTCTACTTCTTCATGGAGTTGGCTAACATTACCATACAAAAATTAAAATTTGTGATCAGTTATGTTGTGAAACAAAGATAAAGTGAACTAAATGCTATTACAGGCTATTATCAACTAGATAATATTTTCACCAAATTTGAAACTTAAAAGTCACCTAAAATTATAAATAAAAGCAATGTAAAATAAAACAAAAGCAGTCATTACTTACGTGACTTAAGCAAGCAAGGACGAGTGGCATCATAACTTGAGGACTCTGTTTCAACTTTTTCAAATTCATCAAGGCCACTATCACTGTCTTCATTGACTATATCTCCTGGTAGACTACTTTGTCCAACTGTGTCTTTATCAGCTGAAACAATAACCATGATTAGCAATAATTATATGCTGCATATAAAAATACAAAAACAAAAATCCAAGACAGAGTCATCCACAAATTTTATCACTGTTGAGATTAGTTACACTTCAAAATCTTTTATATATATTTTTTTTTTTATTAACACACTGGCCGATTCCCACCAAGGCAGGGTGGCCCGAAAAAGAAAAACTTTCACCATCATTCACTCCATCACTGTCTTGCCAGAAGGGTGTTTTACACTACAGTTTTTAAACTGCAACATTAACACCCCTCCTTCAGAGTGCAGGCACTGTACTTCCCATCTCCAGGACTCAAGTCTGGCCTGCCGGTTTCCCTGAACACCTTCATAAATGTTACTTTGCTCACACTCCAACAGCATGTCAAGTATTAAAAACCATTTGTCTCCATTCACTCCTATCAAACACGATCACGCATGCCTGCTGGAAGCCCAAGCCCCTCGCACACAAAACCTCCTTTACCCCCCCCCTCCACCTTTCCTAGGCCGACCCCTACCCCCCCCTTTCCCTTTCCCGCTACAGACTGATACACTCTTGAAGTCATTCTGTTTCACTCCATTCTCTCTACATGTCTGAACCACCTCAACAACCCTTCCTCAGCCCTCTGGACAACAGTTTTTCCCAAAATCCTGCACCTCCCCCTAACTTCCAAACTACGAATTCTCTGCATTATATTCACACCACACATTGCTCTCAGACATGACATCTCCACTGCCTCCAGCCTTCTCCTCGCTGCAACATTCATCACTCATGCTTCACACCCATATAAGAGCGTTGGTTAAAGCTATACTCTCATACATACCCCTCTTGCCTCCAAGGACAAAGTTCTTTGTCTCCAACAGACTCCTAAGTGCACCACTCACCCTTTTCCCCTCATCAATTCTATGATTCACCTCATCTTTCATAGACCCATCCGCTGACACGTCAACTCCCAAATATCTGAATACTTTCACCTCCTCCTTATCTCTCCCTCCAATCTGATAACCAATCTTTCTTTCACCTAATCTTTTTGTTATCCTCATAACCTTATTCTTTCCTGTATTCACTTTTATTTTCTTCTTTTGCACACCCTACCAAATTCATCCACCAATCTCTGCAACTTCTCTTCAGAATCTCCAAAGAGCACAGTGTCATCAGCAAAGAGCAACTGTGACAACTCCCACTTTATGTGTGATTCTTTATCTTTTAACTCCACGCCTCTTGCCAAGACCCTCGCATTTACTTCTCTTACAACCCCATCTATAAATATATTAAACAACCACGGTGACATCACACATCCTTGTATACAATACTGTACACAATATTGTATACAATATTGTGTATACAATATTGTAAAAACAATTAGGCTAAGGACAAATCCTTGAGGGAGTCATCTCCTTATGTTTAGCCACTTGAGACAGTTTGCAATTCATTACCATTCAATAATATCCATTTGGTGACCCAGTTGTTTATTCAGATCTGAAATTTGTTTCCAAAAGCCTTTATTTAGGCAGGAAATTTTGATGTAGTATCTTATCAAATGCTTTCCTGAAAACTATATGAAGAACTGTATACAAAATCCGTTGTTACTTTTTCATCCTAGTTTTTGGATTGTAAGAGAAGTGATTGCTAGGATGTTTAGGAGAGGTGTAGGATTAGAACATAAGAACGTAAGAAAGGAGGAGCACTGAAGCAGGCCTACTAGCCCATGCTAGGCAACTTCAACTAACACTCACCAGATATAAATTAGTAGGAGGCGTAGAGTTAACTAAAGTATTATTCAGAAGGTCTAGTAAGGGTTGTTGAGGTGGTTTGGACATTCATAGAGGGTGAAGAAAAGCAGGATGACTAGGAGGGCACATAAATCTGGAGTGGAGGGAAGAAGGGAAGAGGTCATCTGAGAAAAGGTTAGAGGGAAAGGGTAAAGGTTTTGGGTGCTAGGGGCTTGCACATCCAACAGGCCTTTGAGAACATGTTGGATAGGAGTGAGTGGAGGAAGTGCTGTTTATGATATGATGTTCTGTTGGAATGTGAGCAAGGTAACATTTATGAAAGAATTCATGAAAACCAGTTAGCCAAACTTGAATCCTGGAGGTTTACCTCATCTCTTACTGAACCATCTGCCATTTCTTATTGGCCATATCCCACTGAGGTAGGGTGGCCCAAAAAGATAAATGGAAGTTTCTCCTTTTAAATTTAGTAATATATACAGGAGAAGGGGTTCTAGGCCCTTGCTCCCAGCAGTTTAGTCACCTCTTCCACTTCCCCATAGAGATAAGGAGAAATAAACAAGAACAAATACTAGTAAGGAAATAGAAGTAAACCCTGAGAGCTCATCGTAAACCAAAAATATCGGAAAGCGAATCAATTTTCCCCATAAGAAATAATGGAAATCAAATTAATTCGTGCAAGACGCCCAAAAGTATGAAAAAAAAACTTTTACCACATGAAATATTAAGTTTAATGCAATAGAATAGTAATTACAATAACAACAATAAAATAAATAACAATAAATAACGAAAGAATAATTGACACTTACCTTTAATGAAGATCTGGTGATGATTCATGGGATGGGAGGAGGGGAGTGTGTGGATGGTGTTAGCATTTAGAAGGGGGGGTCCCCCTCCATTAGGGCTTGAGGTAGCAAGTCTTTTCTGGGTTACTTCCCCTTTTTCTTTTAATGCCACTAGGACCAGGTTGAGAGTCACTGGACTCCTGTCTCACAACATAACTGGCAGCCTCACCATGCCTAATCACACTATGTAATACCACTACGATTCTTAAATCTTTCAAACCAACCTTTGCTGGACTTAAATTCACTCACATCACCATTAGTTGCAGGCAATTTTTTTACCAAAATTTGTCTTTCCCAAATGCCTAGCCCTTTTTACAAAAAGATTGCTTGGAGAGTTTCTATCTCCTGCTTATCTGTTTTTCATTTATCCACACCAATAACAGTCTCTCAACATTTTCTAACACTTGCGGTCGCTGTTTCGTAATCACAGCTGCACCTTTTGCAAGAACAGCTTCCTTGATTGCCGTTTTCTTGCTCACTATAGTAGAGTTTGGGTTTATTGGGTTTACTATACAACCTGACCAGCTCCGACACACGCACTCCACTTTCGTACTTTGCAATTATCTCTTTTTTTCATTTCAACAGTCATTAGCACCCTTGGTCTCGAAGGGATGGCACTGGGAGCTTTCTTGGGGCCCATGGTGACTTATTTTTGCAAAAACAGGGACCAAAAACAGTGATAATATGGATAATATGGAATGTACCAAATGTATCCTTGATGCGCGCACACTGGCTGGCTTGTAAACACTGGCACAACACGGGCAGTTCAAAGGGCCAAAACATGGACACATTTTGTTCGAACCACATTGCATACCCGGGGTTTTGTATCGGGAAGCGAGGCAAATTTTCTGCGATATAATGCATCGGTTACCGGATTTATCGGATCCCGATGGGCCATGGGCAAACCGGGGGTCCCCTGTATTCTTGTTTGCACTGCAGTGCCCTAAGTGAAAGTAGTAGAAGCAGCAAGAGAACCTAAAAAACCTTGCATGTTTCTTCTTCTTTCTTTCAAAAAACCGGGCCGTTCCCCCCGACGCGGGTCCCCCAAAAAGGAAAAAAACAAATTTTTTCCCCTTTTAAAACTTTAGTAAAAATATACAGGAGAAGGGGGTTACTAGCCCCTAGTTTTCCGGCTTTTTTGGGTCCCCCCCTTAAAAACCCACGCATGGCTTAGGGAGGAAAAATTTTCTGTTCCGCTTCCCCATGGAGATAAGAGGAAAATAAAAAAAGGGAAAAAAATAAAAAGAAAATAGAAAAAAAACCCAGAGGGGTGTTATATTTTATGCTTGTACATGAGTGTAGTGAAACCCCAAAGGAAAGTAAAAAGGGGGGGCAAGATATACCTAAAATTTTGCATGTTTAAAAAGACAAAAAAAAGACCACCCAATCCTCCATAAGGGTAAACAATTTTTGTACAGGCTTTCATTTCACACTCATTTGGCGGGAACGGATTCCCCCCCTGGATGGTTGTTTTTCCCAAACCACTATGTAGTCACTCTCATAACCCTATACAGGGGGGCCCCCGGGTTTTTCGAGGGCATCGGTTTTCGAAAAAACCGGTATTCATGAAATTTTAAACGAAAAAAATTTCCCTTGGTACCCGATTAAAAACCGGTATTCGAGCAAATTCATAGGGAAAACTGTCCCGGTGGCCAAAACTGCCCTTTGTGTCCCAAAGTTTTTTAAAACCACCAGTGTGCGTGCTTTAAAGGGATAAAATTCGGTACACCCCCATTTTATCATTTGTTTTTGGGGGCTTGTTTTTTGGCAAAAAAATCCCCATGGGGCCCCAAAAAAGGGTTCTAGTGCCAACCCTTAAAGAAAAAAGGTGCTAATGACTATTGAAATGAAGAAAGAGGAAATTTGCAAAGTCAAAAGTGGAGTGCGTTTTTTTGGAGCTGGTCGGTTGTATAGTAAACCCCAATTAAAACCACCCTCTGCTATAGTGACCGGGAAAAACGGCAAAAAGGGAAAGCTGTTTTTGCAAAAGGTCAACTGTGATTCAAAACAGTGACTGAAAGTTTTTTGGGAAAATGTTGAGAGACTATTTTTGGGTTTGGGGGATAAAAAAAAAACGATGCAAGAGATAACATCTCTAAAGCGTTCTTTTGGTAAAAAGGGCTAGGCAGTTGCGTAAACGTTTTGGTAAAAAAATTTTTGCCGCAACAAAGGGGTGATGTGAGTGAATTTTAAAGGGCCCAGCAAAGGTTGGTTTAAAAGTTTAAGGGAATTGTAGTGGCTTTACAAGTTTTGATTAGGCTAGGGGGGCCTGCCAGTTCGGCCCAAAAAAGCAGTTTGAAAAAAAAGGGTAAAGGGTTTTTAAAAGGGTTTACTTTGACAGTAAAAGAATTTAAACCTAAAACAAGTTTTTAAATTTTGGGGGAGGGACACAGGCCTGTTTTGGAAGAAAATCCCAAGCGGGA